CAAACTGTTTGCTGGATGCTGGCTTTGAACCAAGATCCTCCTGATCTCTGCCTCCTGAATAGCTACGATTACAGGTATGAGCTCCTGGTGCCTGGCTCAAAATAATTTTTAAATCACTACTTTAAACTATACTGTATTATAATTATTTTTAGTCTTATTTTTAAAAGAGATTTTAAACACAATGAAAATATTGACAGCTAGTGAAAATATTCCATTGTAATGCTCCTTAAAAATCCCACCAATAAGTCTGAAGAACTCTCCTGTATTAGGGAAACCTGTATCTGCTTGCTTTCAAACAACTGACTGTATAAAATCAGAGAAGAGTAATGACACAGAAAACAATTCATATCCCCAAAATGATTTTATAATGTGGGACATACATGACTGCTTCTTAGGTGTTTTGTCTTTCTAATTTTGTATGGCTGTCACTAGTACTTAAATCTCTGGTCTATGGAGAATCTTGAACAGAAGGTACCACCCTGGAAGTCCTTAGAATGGCAGGTGAAGCCAGCTTACAAACAAACACATGCAACATAAAATGTATAAATCAGAAAATACATATGCAGCTAACCAGGAAGCAGCTTCCTGCATCAGCCCCTCACCCTCAGACACCTTGCAAAGAACACTGCACACCCTGCAGTGTGGTGTGATGGGCATAAATGTTAAAACTGATGTTCTTTTACTGAGATGCCATATTTAGTCCAATATTTTCTTATTCTTAGCTAGGTTAGATAAGCACTTGACTTTGGATGGTTACCTTACAATTAACTTACAAAAAATAATGACTGAAACTCCTATGGAAAGCAAGCTTCATTATGCTCTTTTCCTGATACAACTTTACTTCCCACAAGTTATAAGGTCAAAAAAAAAAATCGCTACTATCATTCATGCTGGATATAAAAAGAACTGAGTTGTCACACAATAGACAGTGAGTGATTCCAATATTTGTTAAAATACATATAAGCAAGATTTGAGTGTCACACTCATAAACATGTGTGTATGTATGTATATATATATATATATATATATATATATATATATATATATATATATATACATACATACAGAAAACGCACGAGAAACATATGACTTTGGTACCCTTTTTTGGAGAGGCAAGATGTTGGGAGAAGTAGGGATGACAACAGGGGTGAGAGAATTCACCCATTTGGCATATTAAGGATTCTCATTCAATCCCATTCCCCTCTCCCAACCCCAGCAAATTTCCTTGCTTGCACTTCCTCCTCCACACCCCACACTCACACACATAATCACTAAGAGGAATTTGTACCAGATATGCTTTCACTTTCATCCACAAAGGACTTTCATCCTATCTTGTAAAAGTGAATCTACACTCTTAGGACCTACAAGACCAGCACAAATGCCACTTGTCTCCTCCACAGGTGCTAAGAACTCTAGATGGCTTCCACAGCCCTTCTTTTTTTGTTTGTTTTTTGGCAGTACTGGAGTTTCGAACTCAGGGCCTACACCTTGAGTCACTCCACCAGCCCTTTTTTGTGATGGGTTTTTCAAGATAGGATCTCGCAAACTATTTGCCGGGACTGGCTTCAAACTGTGATCCTCATGATCTCTGTCTCCTGAGCAGCTGGGATTACAGCCATGAGCCACCAGGGTCCAGCTCCACAGCCCTCCTTCAGTGCCCACAACACACTGCAGACAATTGCTGAACACCTACTGTGTACCAGGCCTGTGCAGGGGTGTGGGACACAAAGGGAAGTACTATAGGATACCTGCCTTCAGAGAGCTCACAGCCTCAAGCACAAGACAAAACAGAGAACACGGAATTTCCAGATAACATGGGACATGTAACAGCAAAAGTGTACACCTATGTAATTACACACTGTATTTTAAATATTTCTTCCTTTCTTCCCACAACACTCAAAGTAAGAGCCTTGGGCATAGACACTGTATCTATAGTTATCTTTAGTTTCCCTGTGTCAAGCACGGTATTTATATCCTGGATAGGAACATAATGGTATTTTAAGAAACAGATTTGTATATATCTCAAGGTTTCACAATGGTGAAAAGTATGCACACCATCTATTAGGATGGACCTATACACTGCATTATAATCCTAGAATTTCAGTACCAAAACAAACATCTTTAACCTTAAAAGTCCTCTGATCTTTTATCCCTCACTAATAGTCCTGGCTTTGACTCCAAAAAGGATGAAAATTATGAAAGTTAAGCCTGTCTGTTTCTGTTCCTGGAAGTTAATGCACTCTCACTTGTTTTTACTGGTAAGACTGAGAACTTTCACCCAGTAACTTTGAATTTCTACTCAAGATTAATGCACTGGTAATTTCTTGCAATGTTCAGAAAAATAGTAATTCTAAATTTAAAACAAGTTTGCCAAAGTTTATGTAAGGGCCTATTACATTTCAAACCTTGGACTTGTAGGTGCAAAAATGGTAAGATCTTCAATATCTACTCATTCACCCTTGTCCTGCCCTGAGCTTATCCAAAAACAAATGACAGAAATGAATTGCACATATAACATGAAGCACTGTTGCAATTAATCAACCCAGAGCCCAAGGGAGGAATTGCTTCTATTTTTAAATGCACTGTTGCTTTAAGGGAAAGCTCCCTGAAGAAACATGAAACCAAGCTGCATAATGGAAATCAAAATGCACTTGGTGTCTTCATCCTTGCAAAGAGTAATTTTAATCTACAAGTAGCCCTGTGTGTCGACTCTCCTCAATTTGCCCAGAAACTGGCCAATATCAGGCACAATCCCACAGGAAGGGCCCACCTACCACACAAAGAATCAGAATCAGATCTGTCTGAAGGCCAGAATAGAAAGCACCCATATCTCAATGCTATTCTTATAGCTCCAGGTAAAGTCTATCCCAATAAGCAAGCCAATGGATAAATCCCACAATCACCCTACAAATCTTTTTTTTTTTTTTTAAGCAGTATTGAGGTTTCGACTCAGAGCCTCCTCCTTGCTAGGCAGGTGCTTTATCACTTGAGCCACTCTGCCAGACCCTTGTGTTGGATGTTTTCGAGATAGGATCTCATGAACTATTTCTCAGGGTTGGCTTCAAACCTTGATCCTCCTGATCTCTGCCTCCCAAATAGCTAGGATTACAGGTGTGAGCCACCAGCACCCAGCTACAAATCTTAAGAGATCTTGATAAGCAACTAACATGGTGGCCCTAAAAATGACCAACTGATTGTTTAGCATTTGCAACCAACTGTCCACAAAATTAAACCTATTTAATCCAAACTCCACAAAATTAAACCTGTTTTTCTGCACAAATGTCAAGGCTTCATCTCATTAAATAGTAGCTAACACTAGCACTCCTTATACTTTAAGAAGAGCTAGGAATGTAGCACAGCACATTGCAGTGCATTTGCCTAACCTGCCCAAGACTCTGAGTTCCATCCCCAGCACCACAACAAGGAAAACAGAAGCAGCACCTATAAAACAGAAGTTAAGATAGTTCACCTGTTTAGCTGAAGATGTACTTCAGTGGTAAGAGAGGGTTAGCCTAGCATATGCAAGGCCCTGGGTTTGATCCCAAGTTATCACCAAAAAAAAAAAAAAAAAAAAAAAATTCTCCTTCCCAAACCGCCTTGAGGATAACCCAATAAATTTTTTTCCTGAAAAACTGTAACAATATTCAGTTTTGGGGAAAGAAAAAAAAAAAGCATTGGTGCCATAAATTGTAAATATTTACTTTACTTACCGTCACCATGAAATATATACCATCTACAATGCTAGAAATGTACCTAAAAATAGGTAAAATATCTTTCAACATATCCAAAACTATTGCTCAAGAGTACACTCATTACTATAAAATATTTCACACCAATATTTTAAATATAGCGTAGCAGAAGGTTTGCAAAGTATATTAAAGATTGCTAGACTCAACGCAAAAAACAAAGAATCCCCAATCTTACCTCCTCATAATTTCCCTCCAAATTCAGAAAAAGAATGTCTAAACATCCCATACATTCATAGAAAAAAGCAACTGCCTATTTTAGCAAGAAAGTAAGGAACCCTACTTCAGTCTTCAGTGAAAATCCCTGGAGAGCAAAACTCAACACTACCTTGTAGCTCATCAAGCAACAGGTGACTTTTAGAGACACAAACTCACAGTCCTTTCCAAGAGGAATTAATTTTGTAGAATCTCGGTCCTGTTCTATTTTTTACAAGCTTCTACACTGCCATATCGAATGAATCCCGACCGATTTCTTCTCAGGGCTTACCAGAAAAAATGCCAAATATTCAAATTATTTTAGGGCATTTTCCCATACTGTTGTATGGAATAGAATTAGTAAGGATCCCACAGTTACCACTTTTCAAATGCAAATATGTTGCCATCTAGTAAATGCAGCCCCCTTTTATACGTCTCCCCTCAACCCAGTGTCTATACAGTTCAGGGCACTACTTTTGTTTCCTTGAAAATCAAAATTCGCGCATTACATTCAGGCATTATTTCAACACAGCGCGCACACACACACACACACACACACACACACGTTAAAATGGTCCAGCCTAAGCCTGCATCCAAGCTGGTTTGCTTTACAACCCCCACCCCCCAACACTGTCACTGAGCAATTCTGCCAAAAGAAGCAAAGGTGGTGGGGTTCCACCACCAAAGCCTTGGGTTGGTCACTTGCCCGATTCGGGCACCAGTTTTCCTGTATACAAAATGTGGCCTTTGAACTACATCTCCAGGGTTCCAGTGGTGCCCTCCACTCTCTGGGTGCTGACTGCTGTGGCTCTGGCTAGGGTGCCCTGCCCGACTGACACCGCTGTAGATGGGAGGAGACAAGAAGTGGGGGAGGACAGAAGGAGGAAAGGAACTTGGACTTGCAACCGCTTCCAACAGGAGCGTGCCACAAACTTGCAGTCACCCTTCTTTAACAATAGGACAGAGCATTCCCATTCCCCCCGCCCTCCTTCCCGGCTCCAACTTGCAGGAGCCTGCGGGTTTGGATCCTGCCGGCCGCCCTCTGGGAACCCGCTTTACCTTTCTCCCTGCTTGGTGTTGGAAGGAGGAGGGTGCAAGACCGTTTGATTCCCTTCCATCTCCACCACGCACTTGGTGTTCAGTTCCAATTCTGGAAGCACAGAGGCAGACCAACGTTGCAAAGTCGAGCATCCGCGCCTCCAGCTCGCCGCGCGGGGGCTGCGTCCAGCGCTGCGGCCGAGCCTTGCTGGACCCGGCGCCCCGGGGCGCTGCCTCCACCCCGGGCTCCCGGACCGCGCTCCCGCCGCCCCAGCCCCGCGCCGCCCCGCAGTTTCCAAAGTTACCTCCCCACCACCACCCCCGCCACCACCCCCGCCCTCTGGCCCGAGCAGAAATTAAAAAAACGAGCGGAAAGCTTCTCACCTCGTCGGTTCATGGGCCGGACCCGGACAGCAACTTTTACCTTCGTATCCGACATGTTGGCGGCACTCGCCCGGCCGCTCGCCGCGCCTGCTCGGCCCGAGGCGGCCTCTCAAGCGCGGCGCCGCCGCCGCCGCAGCCGCCGCGCGCCCCCGAGCGCGGCCGCCGCCGCTCCGCCGTGAGCTCCGAGACGCAGCGCCAAGGCGCGCGGGCCATCCCGGGGGAGCGCGACGCGGGGCACGGCCGCGGCCCGGGGAGGGGCGGGCGCGCGGGGCGGGGCGGGCGCGGCGGCGGCGGCGGCGGCGGCGGCGGCGCTCGGGCGGGGAGGAGGCCGCGCTGCCGGCCCAGGCGCAGCTCTAGCCGCGCGGGCCGAGCCGAGCGCGCAGCGCCACGGCCCCTCGCGGCCGCCGAGGACCCGGCCGCGCCGCCATCTTCCTGCGCCTCGCAGTGCCGGGCTCCGCCCGCCCGCGCTCCGGGGACGCCGACTTGGGCCGCGCGCGCTGCGCCCCCCGCCCTCCGCAACACGCACCCCGACCTGCGGCCCTGGTGCCGACACCCGCGGCGCCGGGCTCTGGGCACTGGAAACTCCGGGCCGGGTGCCTCGTTTGCCCGGGTGGGGCCGAGGCCGCTCGTGCGCCTGTGAGGATCCCACGGATACCGCCTTGAGTTCGGGTCACGATCAGGGACCGCTGTCACCTCGCAAACCCAGAACCCTTGGGCGGTCTGAAAGGATCGGTCACGCCGTGCCAGGTGGGCAGGCCTTAGCCTTGGAATAAATCCACCGAAATCCCCGCACGCCGCCCCCCTGCGCCCACACCGAGCTTGCAACGGTATTCTAAGATTTTTGTGGTGCACCGAGACTAGAAATTAATCTGTGAATCTACCACCGAAACGGAGCGTGTTTGTAAATAGTGCGCTCACTTCCTTTCCCTTCCCCTCTTGTCGTGGGAGGGATGTCAAGAGGGCCGACAGGGCCATTAACTCTTACATAAGAATTTAATAGCAGTGAATTCTGTCATGCTGCCAAATGCAGACCTTGCTGCCAGGGCGGAACTGGGCGAATGGGATTTATACTGTTTGGTTCAACAAGTGCTTATGGGGCGCTTGCTTTGTGCCTGGCATTTTGAAACATACAGAAGTCTAAAATCCAGAGTTTAGATCCAGTCTTTCCATTTTGCTTACATTTAGAAATCCATTCCTTCATGAATTCATTTATTGGAAGTTGTACTGAGGGCCTACTGTGTGCAGGGTGCTGTGGAGAACAGGTACACATGAATACCATTATTCGTCCTTTATTCCAGAGGCCAAGCTTTGGTGGGAGAAATGGCGTGGAGATATGTATTGTGGTAGCATGTGGCAGGTGGTACAAGTACGAGATTAAGCCTGTCTTCAACCGGTGCCAAACTATGAACCTGACTTCTCTTTTCCTTCCTTCCTTCCTCTCTCCCTCCCTCTCTTTCTTTTCTTCTTCCCTCCCTTCCTTCTCTCTCACCTGCTCCCCCCCCACCATTCTTGTCAAATCATGAAAACCTTTAATGCCAAAAAAACTGCATCTCTGTTCTAAAGGCAATGGGAAGTGAATGAAAGTTTCAGTATAGGAGCCAGGGCTGCATTCTGTTAGGGTAATTAATTTGGCAGCAATCTCTCCATCCGGAAGGCTGTTGTAGTCATCCAGATGAGAGGGAGTTGATGATGGCATGAACAAGGCCAATGGTAGTGCAAGTGGAGCACAAAAAACAGATGCTGGATCTACTGTAGAGATGTAAGTGTGCCGAGTTAGTGCCGAGTAGTAGGATGTGAGGAGCAAGAGAAGCAAAGGAATGTAGTGCCTGGGAAAGGTAGAACGTATGGCCTATGAATGTGTAAGGAAAATAGGTCTTAAGGTGAGAGGGGCATGACTAAGGTGGTGTTGGTTAAATAAACAGCCTGCATTGCTTCCTTATAGAGTGGCCCTTCCTGCTTTTCCAACGCTCTCCAACTTGAAAGGCCTATGTTAGACCTCACCTCTTCTAAGAAGAGTTTATTAAGTATTTCTCCTTCAAAACAGTTTACTTTCACTTGTTAAGAATATATCTTAGTTCAAAACCTAGTATCACAAAAAAAGAAAGAGGATTATATCTTAGCTAGGCATGGTGATGCACACTGTAATCTCAGCACTCATGAGGCTGAGGCAGAAGAATTGCATGTTCAAGGTCAGCCTGGGCTACATGCCAGATCTTGTCTCAATTTTAAAAAAATAATAATAATAAGGAGTATGCCCTTTTAAAGTAGGAAGGTACCTTCTAGACTCTTCTACAACACCCCCCAAATTTGCCAGCCATCCTATTTGAGTGTCTAGTGACCAGGTCCTCAGTTTTGAAAGCAGCCAAATACGCTGTTGAGCAACTCATTCTAAAGTTCTGCCCTCAGAGAAGGCCTCCAGGAAGAACCAAGTTTATCTCCCCATAAATTCCACCTAGTGATCAAAGCTCTGTCTCCTGAATCTTCATACTCTAACTCCTCTTCACATAAAACCCTTCAGATATTTGGAGATGGCTTTCATGTCCTTCTGGAGACTTCAGCATGTCAGAATATGCTGTTGTATAATGAACCCCCCTCCCCAAACTTAGTAGCTAAAAATGACATAACTTCTCTCGCATTTTCTGTGGGTCTGGAACTTGAGAAGGGTTCAGGTGGAGAGATCTGGCTCTGGTTCTGTCACAACATTGCATTCAGATGGTGGCTGAATCTGGATCAGCAAGTGGTGAGAGCAGTGGGGGACAGGCGTTTCTCTTTCTCCAGATCATCTCAAGGTTTCTCCATTTGGTCTTTCTGCACAGGTAGGTACTACAGTTTGGATCTTGAATGTTCTCCTAGGGCCTTTGTGTTCAAGGCTTGGTCCCCAGCCTATGATGCTATTGGGGAAGTGATGTAATCTTTAAGAGGTAGGGCCTAGTGGAAGGAAGTTTGGGACATTGGGGAGGTGCCCATATTAGGACCCTCCTCTTCCTCTCTCTTTGCTTCTTGACCACATCAGGTGAGCAGCTTTGCTTCCCTTCATGATGTGCTGCCTTGCCACAAGCTCAAAAACAATGGAGCCAGCAGACCAGGGACTGAAACCTCTGAAAGCTATGAGTCAAAATAAGCCTTTCTTCCTTGTAAATTACTTATCTCAGATATTTTGTCATAGTGACAGCTGATACAATAGTCCTGGGCTTTCACATAGCATGGTGACTGGGTTCCAAGAAAGAGCATATCAAAGGCACTGTTGGAAGCTGTCTCATCTTTTATGACCTAATCTCAGAAATCCTGCAGTTTCACTTATGCCATAGTTATTGCTAAATTCATTGCACCCTTATCTCAGTGGGGAAAATGTTACATTTTAAGAAAAATATGTAGAGTGAGAGATGTTTGTTGCAGCCCTTTTTTGAAAAATACAATCTGCCAGATACGATTTCTTCAACTGTCTTGGTTGTCCTCCTCTGACAGTCTGTTATAATAAAGGAAGGCTTAAGAATTAGAATCTTGACTCCCTTATGTGTAGCATGAAACAGGTTGTTTCATCAGCGTAATCTTCAATTGATTCATGAGTAATAAATGGAGAAGCTGAACACTTACCCACGTGGTGGTGAAGATACCTTTTTGAATACATGCCTAACACATAAACATCCCATTTTTTCTGAGAATTGCTGTTTCTTCCTCCTGTACGTCTCACCCTTGGCTCCTCGTATAGCCACATTTGTACTGTGACCCAACCTGCCTGGTACAGTTATTCCTGCTACAAACTGGGCTGTCTGATTCTTCCCTTGGGAAATCTGTGTTTGGGACTCAAAAGGTGGTGGTTGAGGATATGGCCTTCAGAATCAGACTGTCTGGATTGAATCCTGAAACTTCTCTTTCTGAATAAGAAAATCTATATTAACTCTTCTGAGCCTTAGTTTCTTTATTTGAAAGATTACAATGAGGTGATGACAATAGCAAAAGTACCTACATCACAGAAACCATTGAGGATCAAATAAGTTAATGCCCTTGAAATTCTCATCACAGATTGTGAACAGGGACTGGTTCCTTCCTTAAGTTATCCTAAGGGTTGTGGAGTGGCTGTATTTTAGCATAGTTGTAGGGATACCCAGAAAGCTGCTCCAAAGGAGAAGAATCACAGAGCTGCCATGTAGAGACATTTAGGTAGCTAGAACTCTGGGTTTCAAAAACACCTTCCAAGTTCCAATTCTAAGCTCTATGGAAGTTGAGCTATATCTCTGCCCCTAGATTCTTTATGGTGAGGACAGAATCAGAATGAAAATGGGGGCTGAGATTAAGGAGACAAGAAGATGTTGCATGAATAGCAGTTACATTTTGTGAGCATGGAGATTGTTGATAAATTCTGCAAAGTTGTGCTCATGTTGCCCTTCTATCCATAAGTCCCTTTCAGAACAGGGATATGGATTTATACATGACAGACATCGTGAAAGACATCAAAGTGCAGGGAGTGAAATTGTAGACTCTGGGATCATGCAGCCAGATTTAAATTCCAGCTCTGCCACTTGAAGACTGTGTCACCCTGTTCAAGTCATTATCCTACTTCTACCTCCACATTTCCTGATCTACAAAACGGCAATAGGTGTGATACTTACTTTGCTGTTCCAGACACATGTAGACCAGATCCAGCACACAGTAAGGACTAAGTAGGCATCACATGGTGTCATCATCATCAGTATCATCACTATCATTATTTTCTATCGATCCAGGAGTCACTTCAGTGAGTCTAGGTGACTCATAGTAGATGTGACTCCTACCACCATCCTTAAGTATGTCACAATATGAAATGAAGAACAACCCTTAAAACTAAAATGTTAAAGAGTGATAATCCTCTTTGAACATGTCCTGAGTTCCATTGGAAGCCACAGATGAACCACTTGTCTTTCTACAATTAGCTCTTCAGGCCAGTTTGCTCAGAAGAGGAGGATGCATGCAGGTCTTCCCTGGGTCCTTCCTTTAAAAAAAGTTCCTGAAGGGCTGAAGGGGAAGTTTTGGGAACACCAAACTCAGACATTTAACAAGCTGAAATTCCAGTAGTTATCCATCAAAGGAGGAATCATAAACAGCAGACCAGGTATTCTAGCTAGAGGGACTTTTGACAAAGAATCTGGAACTTTCTAATTCATCCATGGTTGGTGTTGTTTTCGTTGTTTCCTTATTCCTGCCCATTTAATTAAAGTGATCAGCAAAAAAGCTACTTTTAAGGTGCATGGGCTTTTCTCCAGTGAAGCATCTAGGAGCTGAACAGTGTCCCATTCTGAAGTCATCTGAGGAAAAGAATCTGAGCATGCAGCAAGATAGCCCTTCAAGGTCATAGGCCTGCTCAGTATAGGGGTACAAGCCCATCAGAGACTGGATTCCCCTGAAAAGAGACCCTGCATTGGGGTCAAGTTGTGAGAAGGCAGATGGGGCTTCCCTCACAGCACAGCCTGGCCCAGCGGTTCTTTTCAATCATCTCTGCAATCCTCAAAGACCACCATGACAGCTACTACAGTAGTGTGTGCTAGTTCCTGGGACAGCTGTAGTCTATGCACTTCTTGCATACCCTTATTCCTCAGAAAGAGCTTGTTGACAGAAAGAGCTTTAGAAAATGGAATACTGTGAGTTTTGAAGAACTGGCAGACAACTGATAAGAAAGTCCCAAAGACTCTTCAATCATCCAATTTTTGTTAAGACTAAGTTCCAAAGCTATTTCAGTCAGAAGTAGGCTGCCAGGCTGATCAAAAAACTGAGAATGACTTAATTCTCTAAAGAATCAAAGAATAATCCTGGAGCCAGAAAATACTTAAATAAGAGGCTTTCTATAAGTTTAGGTTAGCAATTTTATCAGTCAGTTAAGGGTAAGTTACCCCATAGTGACCTTCAATCTCAGTGGCTTACAAAGGCAACCTCCAATCTCAATTGAATGTTACTAAGCAGAAGTACACCAGGTGAGGAGGGAGTTGCTGAGGATTGAAAAACAGATGTCTGTCCCCAAGAAGTCTTCAGACAAGGGAGGAATAGCTAGATGCACACTTAAGGTTGTGTGAATCAGTTTAGTGGGAAGCAGGATTCCCATGTTGAGGTAGACTTCATATTAGAGGGAACATTTTTTTTATTGTTTTATTATTCATACGTGCATACAAGGCTTGGGTCATTTCTCCCCCCTGCCCCCACCCCCTCCCTTACCACCCACTCTGCCCCCTCCCTCTCCCCCACACCCTCTCAATACCCAGCAGAAACTATTTTGCCCTTATTTCTAATTTTGTTGAAGAGAGAGTATAAGCCATAATAGGAAGGAACAAGGGTTTTTGCTGGTTGAGATAAGGATAGCTATACAGGGAGTTGACTCACATCAATTTCCTATGCGTGTGTGTTACCTTCTAGGTTAATTCTTTTTGATCTAACCTTTTCTCTAGTTCCTGGTCCCCTTTTCCTATTGGCCTCAGTTGCTTTTAAGGTATCTGCTGTAGTTTCTCTGCATTAAGGGCAACAAATGCTAGCTAATTTTTTAGGTGTCTTACCTATCCTCACCCCTTCCTTGTGTGCTCTCGCTTTTATCATGTGCTCAAAGTCCAATCCCCTTGTTGTGTTTGCCCTTGATCTAATGTCCACATATGAGGGAGAATATACGATTTTTGGTCTTTTGGACCAGGCTAACCTCACTCAGAATGACGTTCTCCAATTCCATCCATTTACCAGCAAATGATAACATTTCATTCTTCTTCATGGCTGCATAAAATTCCACTGTGTATAGATACCACATTTTCTTAATCCATTCATCAGTGGTGGGGTAGAGGGAACATTTGAGCTGGATCTTAAAGGCTCAGGGGTGGTTTGCCAAGCAGGGAAACCCATGCCTCAACCAGAGACAAGACAAACTCAAACGGACTGATGTTGGAAGAACTCTGTGGGCTGTAGCTAGTATCTGGAAAGTTGAAATTTTAAGTCACTCTCTGGTTTCTTTTTTGCCCTGTGGTCTTGCATCTCATTCTTTGCATATTTAATGTCTTCTTCCTTCTCTCTAGATAAGCTTTGTACACAGTCATATTGAGCCTCTTTGGGTATGGCCTTCTAGTTCCACTTCCCAGGAGTAGCTAACCAGGCAGGACTGTGAGTACAGTCACCCCTCAGAATCCCTGGGGCCCCTGTAGATACTAAAATCCACAGATGCTCATGTCTCTTATACAAAATGGCATAGTATTTACATATAACCTACACACAATACTTTAAATTATCTCTACATTACTTAATAGAATGTAAATTCTATATAAGTCACTGTTATACTAAATTGTTTAAGTAACAATGACAAGGAAGAAGACATCTGTGAATGTTTAGTACAGATGTAATTTTTTAAAACTCACTACACAGTTGATTGAATCCACAGATGCAACCCACGGACGCAAAAGGCTGACTGTAATACATTGTCTTCTAAATGAATTTAGGTCCAATTAAAGTCAGAATGTATGGGGGTGGGGAAGCAGGAAAGGGGTTAGGTGTAAAGCCAAAAGAGACAGAGCAAACAGAAGTGTTGCAGACTGAAGAAAAGGCTGGGTCCACTGGGCATAAGAGATGAGAGTGAAGGACCAGGACAGTGAAGGAAGAAGAGGAAGGTGGGAGTTATGGGGGCCCACAGGATGGGGGTTTTAAGGCCTGTGTGTGGTGACAGTTGGTAATTCACTTCCCCAGGTCTGCCCTCTTACTTTGCTGTAATGGTTCATTTGGAAAGGATTATTTATTTCATTTGGCAGAAATATAGGTACTGATGTCATCTCCATGTGATGTGATGTTCAGGCATGAGATCATCAAGTTAGATTCCCCTGTGATCCTGCCTGTGTTTCCCTTCTAGATGGGAACCATGTCTAATCAACTACAAGTGGCCAAAATAGGAAGGAGGAGCCCCTGGGACAGGTGTTATTCCATATTCTTGGAATTCTTTATAAATGTTGGTTGCCACGGAGTTGGATGGGAGAAGCATTGTCAACAACTCATACAGAAATGAGACCAGGAGAGCTGCTGACATGGTTACAGGCCATGTCTGAAGGTTGAAGAAACAGGAGCATCAATGGTGTAAGTTTCAGTTTGAGGCCAGGAGAAGACTGATATCCAGCTAAGCAGGCAGACAGAGAGAGCGAAGTTAACCTTCCTCTGCCTTTTTATTCTATTCAGACCCGAAATGAATGGGATGGTGCCAGCTCTCACTGGGCAGGGCAATCTGCTTTACTCCATCTACCAAATCAAATGTTGATCTTTGGTTGGGGGCATGGCTCAGGTGGTAGAGTTCCTGCCTAGCCAGCCCAAGGCCCTGAGTTTAAACCCCTAGAACCACAAAAAAAAAAGTTAATCTCATCTGGCAGTGCCCTCACAGTCATACCCAGAAATATTTAAACAAATATTTGGGTACCATGTGACCCAATCAAGTTGATGTATAAAATTAACTATCATGCCATATAAACTAAAGAGCATCATGCCTGCATATAATAAGCATTAAGTGTTAATCTTAGCTATCGTTATCACAGTGCATTGTAATCCATCGATTTGATTGTCCATCTCCCAACTCAGACAGTGAGCTCCTTAAGGAATTAGAGTGGGATACAACTCAACTGAAAAAAATTTAAACCTAGTAAAAAAAATAAGCAAAGTCAACCTTTCTCATTTTGAGAAATTGTCATTTCTCAAAAGAAGACAGATGACCAGTACATACATGAAAAGGTGCTCAACATCACTAATGATCAAAGAAATGTTCATCAACCACAATGAGATATCACATTGCACCTGTGAGGATGGCTATTGTAAAATACAAGAGTGAGTGAGAGTGTGGAGAAAAGGGAACTATTGTACATTGTTGATGGGAATATAAATTAGCATAGCCATTATGGGAAATAATATGGAGGTTCTTCAAAAAATTAAAAATAAAAGTACTTTCAGCATAGAATCCAGCAATCCCACCTTGGGGTATGTAGCATAGGAAAAGAAATCAGTATGTTAAAATATTTGTGTTCTTATGTTCATTGCAGCACCATTTACAAAAGCTAAGATATTGGAACAATGTAAGTGTTGGTTGATAGATGAATGACCAAACAAAATGTAGTCTCTCTCTCTCTTTCTCTGTGTATGTGTATGTGCACGTGCATGCATAATTAAATACTATTGAGCCATAAAAGAAAAGGAAATCCTGCCAATTGCTACATGTATGAACTGAGAGGATGTTATGCAAAGTGAAATAAACCAGGCAAGGAAAAAAATAGTATCTTATATGTGAAACCTTAAAAAGTTTAACTCAGAACCAATGGTGATTGCCAGAGCCAGAGCCAGGAGAGATGGAGAGATGCTAGTCAAAGAACGCAAACTTTCAGTTATAAGATGAATAAGTTCTGAGGATCTAACATACAGCATGATGATTATAGTTAATAATGCCACATTGTTTACTTGAACTTTGCCAGGACAGCAGGCCTTAGTGTCCTCAACACACACACACACACACACACACACACACACACACATATCCACCCACACAATGGTAACTATGATGAAGGATGTATGAATTAATTCAATTGTGGGTAATCATTTTACAATGTATATACGAAAGTCACATTGTATACCTTGGATTTTTATTTGTCAATTATATTGCAATAAAGCTAGGGGGGAAAGGAATTCAAGCATAAGGTGATGGGTACATAGAAGGAACCCAGTGAAAGGTAGTCATTTTGATTATTACTGTTGTTGAAAATGGGAGAAAACTTGCCTTGTTCATCTGAATAACTCAACATCTCAGCCAACGGTTCAGAACATGGCACTTAGTACCTTCTCAATGGTATGTCCATTGAATGAATTAATCAAAGAGCTAACTCTGTTCTTCTCAAAATACTCAGCAGGGAAGTGTATACTCTGGTTATTGTGATATTTTCACACTGGATGGCATGTGGCACCAGGGCTTAATTTTCTTGTGGAGTCTGGTGGAGAAAGGCTCCTATGGATTGTTCCTGTAATTCCCAATCTGCCAGACTTGAGTGTCTTTGCTTCATGAGCTGGAGATTTAATCTTACCCTGCTCACCCCCTGATGTGGTTTGAATGTGTCCCCCAAAATTTCTTGTGCTGGAAACATTTTTTTTCTTATTTTTAATGATGGAAAAAAAGAGTGTAAAAAATCGAAACTTCTTCAAGAACCACTTGTTCTTGCCTGTCATGTATCTCTCCTCAAATTTGACCTTGGCCTCCCATCTGGCCTTTTCATTAGGAACTGGGTCTTTAAAGATATCTTTTTTGTTCAAAGAGATGTCCACTGAGTTCCCTGTGGGCATGAGTTGATTGTAGTTATAAACCTTCACAAAAGATTTGATCTTTGACTTCTTGTTGGTTTTCTTCTTGAGCATGGTAGCTGTCACTTTGCAGGGATAGCTGTCAATTCTAGCCACCAGAGCATGCTTGTAGGGGTGCTCTGAGGTGCCGTCTTCAATGCTCCTCATGATGATAGCTTTGCATCCAGAGTAGCATCTTGCCAAGATCAGCACCACTTTCCCTGGTTTCATGAACCTGCCAGTTTCAACAGCAATCAGCTGGCCTCCAGCAGAAAGGAAGGAAGGATGGTGCATTGGAAACTTAATCCTCCAAATCATATGCTAATGGTATTTGGAAGTAGAGCCTTTGGGTGGTCATTAGGACTAGATGAGGTCATGAGGGTGGGCCTCCATGATGGCATAAGTGATTTATAAGAAGAGGAAGAGAGGCCTGAGCTAATAGGCTTGCTCTGCCTTATGATGCCCTTGCCATGTTATGATACAGCAAAAAGGCCTTCACCAGATGCCAACACCATGTTCTTGGTCTTCCCAGTCTCAAGAAACATAAGCAAATAGATAGCTACTGTTTATAAATCACACACCCTGTGGTCTTCAGATTATAGCATCAGAAAACAAAGCAAGAACTCTCCCTAACCCAATATCTGCTTCCCCTCAGCCTCATTAGAGGTGGTCAGTCATCACAATTCCCTTAGGAGTGTAGAACTGAGATATTCATATCTTGTTTGAGTCAACAGTAGCTGTAGCTTAATTAATACTTCCCTTTCCTTGGAAGGAATATATATATACACACACACACACACACACACACACACACACACACACACACACACATACATATTTACACACACACACACATATATATATATACATATACGTAGGATACGAGTCTCCTCCTTGGAACAAGGATTCCTAATCTACTTGTTAAATACTTCACATCTTTGCATGCACCAGTTGTAATTGTCTCCTAGTCTTTAAGATGAAAGGAAAACAATAACCTTGCAAAATCTTTCTCTAGGGAGAGTGCCTTCCTGTGAGTGAGGATGAATTCAGGTTTCCACACGAAGCTCCTGCTGGTGGCTGGCTTACTTCCTTGCTCTTTGCTTCTGCTTTCCAAGTAGCACTGCAGGTATAGCTTTGTAATTTTAGAAAGTGTTGCCTAAAGGCCTTGCCAAAATTCTGAGATGAGTAGAAGAAATATGGCTCTAAAAATGACTGTTCCCTTTAGAATAAGGAAATCCCACATTTTTGTGGCGGGAGCAATGCTTGGTATTGGAGCTGGCAGATGTGTTTCCAAAAATAAATCATAAAACAGCATTTATGAGGCTACTAAGAACCTTCTTGATTGTGTGAATGGCTTCTCAAAAAGAGAGAAACGAAGTTCAAGCACCTATTGACCTTCCAAATAAATATTTATTGCCTCCACAGTTTACAAAATGATAATTATAAAAGGTAAAAATAATTTGATATATTTGAAGAAAAGAGAGTGGATTGACAAAATTTCCTGTAAGAGCTTTTAATATAAAAGTTAGCCAAATGCATTGTGTGGATCCTGATTCAAGCAATCTAACTGTAAGCAGATATTTTGGGACCAATGAGAGAAATTTAAATATGGACTGAGTGTTATCAGATGACAGTTAAGGAATTACTGTTAATTTTATGAAGTGTGATAGTAGTGTATGAGTTATGAAATTCAATGTCATGTTTGGAAAGATGTAGTTAAAAGCAAATATTATGATGTCTGGAATTTATTTTACTTACCTTAGTAAGTAAGTATAGAAGTTGACCCAAAGGTGGCTAAATGTCAATTAATAATCCAGGTAATTATTGTTTTGGAGTTTATTTCTGTTGATTTTTAAGTGTTTAAAATATTTTTTAGTAAAATGTTCTAAAAATAAATACAAATGACAATAAATTGTCAAATGCTCATTTAAAAAGAGAGACTCTAATACTACAAACAGGTAATTACTTGTAGAAAGAGATGTATTTTGCAAATAAATTTCATACTTCATGAGCCTGAAGTAGATTATGAGACTGGTGAGGTGGCTCATTTGCAATCCCAGTGCAAAGCAAATTAAGTTTTTAAGTGAATGCTGTCAATAATTCATGGTCAGACACAAGTTAGTATTAACACATGAGCATGACCATGATAAAGAAATCAGAAGGTTAAAACAGAATATGTTTCTCTTACATAAATCCTCCAATGCACTTTTGGATTAAATGAAAGGAAAAGTCAGAATATGTTTCTTAGTATTTCTTTGATAACCTGTAACAAAAATGTTCTTATTCACATAAATGGATCATAATCCCAATATTTTTATTATTGGTTTATCTTCAAAATAGGTAAATTAAATGTACAGATTCTTTACGCTAGTGAATGCTGTAGAAATTGCAGAATCCCTATGAATCAGGAGCAAGGTTGTTTCATTTGTGTCTAACAGTACCAGAGGATCCCCCTCAGAGCTGTGTGTTATGTGGACGGATGCATCTCTGGGCATGTTGTCTCTCTGGATCCTGCTAATGGAAGAATCGCGGCCATCAGTAGGCACTCCACATAACTTAGCTGTAGTGTAGCTTGAGCTTAGTTACAGCCTTATCCAGGCCCCTGCTGGAGCATGGACACACCTAACATGTTTTTCAGAAGACTAAGGACCCACATGGAGGACATGCACATGAAGTGGAGCTGATGATCCTCCTGGGCCAGAACACTTTCTGTGGAGAGAAAAGATCAGACATAAAGAATTAGTCTTGGTGACGCACACCTGTAACCTAGCTACTTGGGAGGTGGCGATGGGAGGATTGCAATTCTAACCCAGTTCAGGCAAAAAAGAGAGAGAGAGGAAGAATAAACATGAAACTTAAAAATTGTTTTGTGTCAATACATGAAGAATTTTCTCTTTACTTGTTTATGGCTGCATGATATTTTGTAATGCATTCAACTAGTTTCTCATTCAGTGTGCAATTTGGCCGTTGCCAGTAGTTTGCCTTTACAACAATGCTGAGGTGAACACTTGAACATACAATTTTATACAAATAAACATATCTCTGGGAAAAATGCATCGAAGTGGACTTGCTGGCTCAAATAGCTTGTATGTTAAATTTTTGATAGGAAAGCATAACTATGCTTGGTTATTCTAAGTTACAATCACACCAGCAATGCAGAAGGTGCCTATTTCCCCCTACCTTTGCTAACAAAGTATGATGGTCTCAGATTTGCACCACTGAGCTTTCTGCTGCAGAAAATGCAATTGCTGTTCTGTTCTGTACCCACCACTGTGACACACTGAGCCCAGGCTTCCCAAGGTGTGCTTCCAGCCAGTGGCTGAGTACAGGTGGAGACTAAGGGGTCCCGCTTCTACAAGATTCAGGATACATCAATCAGGTAACCCCAGCTCAAGGACTCTCTACGAACTATAGGGCAGTCTTTGACTGTCCCAGGCAACTTCCTCGCCCTCATAACCTCCTTACCTCACCTTTACAGGGGTCACAAGCACATCATCAGGCTCCTTGGCTTTTCCAGTTCTCTTCTTCCTCTTCCTTCACAAGCATTTCTCCCAGTTCATCTATTCCAAGTCTCATTCCATCTTGGTGTCTGCTTTTCAGAAGATGAAGCTGACAGAAGATTGTTCATCTCAGTATGGTAGGTAGAAAACTGGTATCTCAAAATATTACATTTTTTCACTCTTTAGTATAATTTCACTTTTTCTTTTTTCTTTTTGGCAGTATTAGGGTTTGAACTCAGGGCTTTGCACTTGCTAGGCAGGTACTCTACTGCTTAAGCCCACCCTTAACCCTCATTTTCATATTATGGATGAAGGTGGTCATTTTTTATCTTTGTAATATTTTTCATACCTATGCATTTCCTTTGTCTGTTGGACTACTGGCCTTTCTTATTGACTTGTAGGATTTCTTTATATTTTAGGGAAATGGGGCCTTTGCAATATGCATTGAAAACTTTCTCTCTTTTTTTTGTCTTTTTGTGGCACTGGGTTGGAATTCTGAGCTTTGTACTAGACAGACACTCTACCATTTGAGCTATGCCTCCTGCCCTTTTTGCTTTAGCTATTTTGGCGATAGGGTCTACCTTTTTGCCTAAGTGGGGCTGGACCATGCTCCTCCTACTTATGCTCCATGTTGTAGCTGAGGTGACAGGCATATGCCACCATGCCCAGCTTTTTCCATTAGCATTAATTCTCCAAACTTTTTTGCTTGAGTTGGGCTGGGACTGAGATCCTTCTGATCTCAGCCTCCTGAGTAGCTGGGATGACAGGCATGAGCCACTATACCCAGCTATTGGTTGAGATGGGATCTTATAAAGTTTTTGCTCAGGCTGGCCTCAAACCATGATCTTCCTGATCTCAGCCTTCCAAGCAGCTAAGATTATAGGCATAAGCCACCAAAATGTGGCTACAAAAATTTTTTTAAATATTTTATTTTTATGTTTTTGTTTAGAGTGTTTTTCACCATGTATAAACTATATTTTAAATCAAGGTTTTTTTTTCTATTTTTTTCATGGCATCGGGATTTTGCTTCACATTTGAAAGTCCTTTGCAACTCAGAGGGGTTTAAAATTTCCCCAATACTACTTTTATTTTATTTTTAACATGTAAATCTTTAATCCCTCCTAGATTGATTCTGATATCATAGATGGGGTAAGAATCCAAACTTATTTTTTTCTAGATGGCTATTGTCCCAACACAATTTATTAAACAGCCTTTTCTCTACTAATTAGAAAATGCCACCTTTATCATACAGCAAGTTTCCATTTGTACTTGGGTTTTTGCTGTATGTTTCATGTGATTCTATCTCAGTCAGATACTTTGGTCTGTATTTTATTAGTGGAGAGTGATAAAAATAAATCAGCAGATATCCAAGACTTTGGCACAAGTTTACTCCTACTCCATCCGGAGCAATAGAGTCAGCAGATGAATTGTTCTTTCAGGGAAATATTCTAAAATTCTACGTCTGCCAAAATCCAGTCATCTTCATATGTTGAGGCTGAAATCCAAAATTTAAATACCACCAGTATTCTTCAATGAATCTTGACTTCTATAATGAAACAGCAGGCTAGTGTCAGTTTTGTTTGGCTTTGTGGGTGAAACAAGCATATTGGTGGACTATACCCATAGTTAGGTTACGTAAGAAACTGATTTTACCATTTCTCTGCTCACCTTCTTTTGGGAGAAATCCAAAGATGTGGTTCTGGTTTTTGTTTTGTTTTTCAACTTCCAACATACATTTAATTTATATCTTAACCACAAACCACTCTCTTTACAGTACTAGTAGAATGTTGGTTTGCAGGCAGTCTTTGAGATGGCCACAAGACTGTGCCTCACAGCCCTCCATCTAGGGGAAGTGTGGTTGACCAAAGACCTCAGCAGCTGTGCTCTGAAATCCATTAGTGTTTGTGTGTCACAGGGGCTGCTGCTCACAGCAATGCCTCAGGATAGCATGTCAGTCCCTGGAAGACAGGGAATGCCTCTTTTAGATGCTTTGGCCCAGGACTGCTCAGCAGCAAGGCTGAGCTTCTTTTGATGCAGATTAGTCTAGGATTGTTTTGCCCACCTTGCCTGTGGTGTGATGGTTCTCCCAGCCGTATAGTGTTTCT